AACCAGCAGAGTTTTTGGCAAATTACAATTCAAGCCTGAAGTTTCAAGCTTTCCAAATGCCTTTTTCTTTTTTCACTCGGTTTTCTTATGGTCTTGTTTCTTTTCAAAAAACTCTGGACTTAATGTGTTCAATTTTCTTGGAAACTCCATTCTTAAAGAAGTGCGGTCAGTGATTATGGCAGGCAAGCCTGACACACTTTGACCTGGGAAACCAGCAGAGTTTTTGGCAAATTACAATTCAAGCCTGAAGTTTCTATCAGAAGTATCACCACGGGTAGAATGCATAATACAGCACCCCCCTTTATTTAGGGTGGGCCCCGTTTGCTTATTTGGATTTGCATGCCACCTCATTGCTTCCATGCACATGCCACCTCATTACTGTATATTATTTTCAACTATTTTTAAGTATTTAAAAGTACAAAATCAAATATATTATTTATTCTACTATAACAGCATTATCTTGATTGTATAGCTTAATATGACTACATAGAATATTAAATGTAGCTTCCTTTCTCTCTCTTGTGGAAGAAGACCAACAGTAATACAAAAACTAAAAGAATATTCCAATACTAAAGAGAATGAATAAAATAAGCAAAGCAATTAGTCTAACCATAATACTAAAGAGAATGAATAAAATAAGAAAGAAAATATAAGGAGCACAAATGAGGAAAAACCTAAACCAATCGTAGGTTATATACTTATAAATTATAGCCGTTCATTCACTGGCTAATTATAAAATTATAGTCCTTAACATATCCGTTAACAGCATCTACTAATTAAAATTTAACGTTAAACATTTAGGGTGCAGAGCTGGGCGTGACTAAGCGCGCCACGGAGGAAGCAAGGAGTGAGCGTGGCAAAGGGGCAACCACGTAAGAGTGAGGGGTGCTGTATTGTGCATTTCTTCCTATCACCACTTTATGGAAATTATTTTCTAATTTCTATTGTGGGTGCTTAAATCTGTGAGCTATTTCCGGGTTCCTTATTGTATCACGGAGATCGGTTTGGGTGAGATCTTGATTCACCTGTAACAAACATAAAAAAACTTCTCATCACATCAAGAAAAAAGACAAAAAAGAGCCGAATAAACCTTCTCATAGAACTTCGCAGCATCGAGATGAGGGTGCTCGGGCATCAACCCTCTCAAAAGGTGATCAAGCATCCTAGGATTACCTCCTGCTAACTTTATCAGATTCCTTAGTCTGTCCTTCAACTCAAATGGTCTCTCCATGCCGAGAGTATTTCCTAGTCTTGAAAGGAAGATTGTCGTTACATTTACCACCTCCTCCTCATTCAAAGGCCTAATAGGTATAAAAATACTTGTTGCCTTCTCCGTTGATGTGTAACGCATTGTGGCCCCAGAAAATCGGGTCGTTGCTACTGTAAGTACAGGAAACATCAGGCCACCTCGGTTACCTTTGATATGTCGAACATAGGCCGAGAAAGCTTCATGAATCCAGGACGATGCAGCTCGAAGGCCTCCATCAAAAAACCAAGATAGAAAAATTCGCTTGTCGGCATGAACCTTAAGACCAGTTCGAATGAAGTCGATCACATCTCTGAAAGTCAGCACATTCCTCAGGCCCGGAAATTTGTCATCCAACTCCTTGAGAAAATCACCATATGCAGTCGTATTCATTGGACTAAGTGCTGCATGCAAGGACCGAAGGGCCAAAACCTGTGTGCCTTCCAGGCTGTTCTCGAGCAGAAGTGCACCCCCCGCCATGGCCGTTTCAACCGAATGGTACATACTAAGATCTTTGCCAGTCTCCAACACGTTGTTCACCACTTCCTTGAACTGAGTGGCAAGCCCACTCTAACCTAGCTGGTCGCCGAGAATGGCATCTATAGTCCCTGTTTTTGTGTCCCTCTCCCACGCTTCTCACAGATTTAAGCACCCACAATAGAAATTAGAAAATAATTTCCATAAAGTGGGCAGCAATAGCTTCACATGCAGTTGAGAATGATAACACAAACACTCACGCACCTTGCTGCCACTGCTGCTCTCCAGCGATCACTATGCATGTCAATGTTCCCTACTCATCCAAAAAGAATTTGAACTTTGACAATATTAGAACCAAATAACACACAAACTTTAGAGTAGTGAATATTGTGGAGGAGGAAACTGATGATTCATTTTGGGCCTTATGACATGTTGGGAAAGATAAATGTATAGGATGGCTTAAAGAAAAACATAGACACTGTATAAAGCCAAGTGTAATAGGATACAGAATTTAGTAGAACAGCATTGTAAAACACAAATCTCTAATTTCCAAAGTAGTTAAAGGTGTCCCAAAGTGGGGGGCCAAAGGTGATCTATGAGGCAATGGCTAATGCAAAAATTCAATGAGAATAAAAAGTTTGGATTAAAATCTCTAACTTAAAAAGTTAGTGAAACTCCCAAAAAAATGCCTGAAGAGCGAGCATGAAGCAATTGGTAAGTAAGTCTCAAGAAAGAGACAAAAGAATGACTTACATCTTGTGACACATGGAAGTGTCAAGATTGGGCCCGAGACTTCTAGTGTGAATGTTTTATCACTATCCGACAGATATGGGGCTACTAACCACTGAAGAGGAACAGCCCTAGATTCTGCTCTATCACACGATATCTATCGTGAAACCTTAGAGGTACCCCATGGAGGTACA